CTGAAAATTATTTTATCTCGAAATTAGTATTTTATGTGAATGTAAACTTTTATTGTATGATCATTCGTCGGAAAATGTTTGATTATCTGAATTTGTTGATTAAGATTTAAAAAAAACATTAGGTAAATCTAATCTTGAGAATGTCACATATTAGTTCATATCGTATTAGTAAGTCGAACAAAGTCCATTTGAAAAGCTTTAATTATTCGATTTAATATTCTTAGAGTATAGATGTAAAATTCTTATATAAATCATGATTATTGAATCATATTCTTATAAAATCTATATTTATATATTGAAATATTATTTCGTTGAATTTCATAACGACAGCAATGCAAGGGATTCTTTCACAATCATACAGAAACCATCAATGTATTATAATTATATACTGTTTTATATAATAATTGACTAGTCTCTTTCGATTGAATAAGATTTCTCTTCAAAACGTTTCTTTTTATTTTTCAATTGTGAAACTAACTGCTGACAATTAGAAAAATGAATATTTTCCTCTTAAGAATCTAGTTAGAAAATAATAGTTTCTGCAATTGTTATTCAGTACATTTCAACAGATACAACAACAAAAATAATCAATTGTCTTATCGTTATCGTGAATGAGAGTACCAGATAAAATATTAATATAAATAACAAAACGAACGCTATTATATATACAAATAGATTTATCAATGAATCTCTTTTCCATTGTTAGTTCGAATAATCTTTAATAACATCCAACTGAATTTATTATAGTTCTGATCTGATTAAGCATGATATTACGTTCATCTACAACTATAATCAAATATTATTAATCTCAATAGATGCGTATATATATAACATAAAAACTTCGTTTATAAAACATAAAGTAATCATACGACGAAATATACCAGTATAGGATTGTAAGCTGCGTCATAGATGATTAACTTAATGATATATCTGAGAATATTTAACTATAATTTTCTTTATATGTTTTCTTCATTCATTTATAAGTGTCATTTTATTTTATTTTTTCTACCCTAATTTTACTATTTAAACTCGATTATGTTCGAGTTAGTGTGATTATTCGAACGTATATCAGGACACATTTTATATTGCTCTATTTTTAGTTTCTGTTATTATTATTAGGACTGTTTTCTTCAGTATAAGTGGAAATTCATATTTTATGGATATTACGATCAAATCAAAAACTAAAAAAGTATAGAATTTTTCAATTATTTTTTTTCTTATTTTCTTATTACCTATTTATTTAGTATATCGTCCTAGGTGCAGTCTTCTTGTTAGGTGCTATTATCGTACTTATTCCTTGTGTCATTGTTATTTCACGTAAGTCAAGAGATTGTTCTAGTTCTTCAACAGCATCACAACCTTCAACATGGAATCCTAATGATTATCAATCGAATAGTGATTATTATGATAAATTGACAATAACATATGATTTTAATCAAACACATAATCTTCGTTTGGATCGTCTTTCTTCCCCATGTTTTCATCCAATAAATGGAAAAAGTGTTATTTATTTAAGAAAACAATATCATATGCCTGATTTAATTGGATCATCAACAACATTACATTGGGTTGATTTAGAAACAAATAAAACAATTCAATTAACTCGACCAATATGGGGTATTCATGATCAGCAAGTAAATTTAATAAGTTTATTGAATATTTCTTTGTTCTAAAATGTTTTATTATAGTTTTATTGGATTAATAACAAAACAATTCTTTTTCTTTCTAATCGAGCATTATCTAGTCTTACACAGTTATTTCAATTAAATTTACCCGATGAAATAAAAGATATTAATGATTTTCTTGAACCAATTCAAATAACATTTTATTCATTAAATATTGATAATTTATTAGTTAATCGTCAAGGTACACGTCTTGCATTTAGTTGTCAAGTTTATGCAAATTTATCTATTGAAGAAACATTTAATCGAACTATATTTGAAAAATCTAGTGGAAGTTTAGTTTATAAATTTAATAAATTATTTATTCGACATTGGGATGAATATATGCTTGGTAGACGTCATCATCCATTTATTGTTTCAATTGAAAGAAATTCTACAGGAATATATTATTTTTCATCTATACCAAAAGATATTCTTTTTAATATTGATAGTGATTCACCAACAAGACCTTTTGGTGATGGAAAAACTCAATGGTCATTTAGTTCAACTGGAAATTCATTTGCTTATACAAGACAATATGATGAAACAAGTGAAGTAGCTTGGTCAGCAAATTTAGATATATATACCGTTGATTTAACTTCATCAAATTTAACTAGTATATGTATAACATGTGAAAATTTAGCAATAGATACAGATCCAAATTATTCACCAACTAATGATCAAATTTTGGTTTATCGATCACAATCAATACCTTCTTATGAAGCTGATCAGTTTAAAATCAAATTAATTAATGGTAAATTTTTATTCATTTATTAATCAATCTTTTTTTTTTATTTTTTATTTTTGTCTATAGGTTCTAATTCTAAAATAACACTTCTTAATGATTGGGATCGTAGTATTCAAGTTATAACATGGTCAAATGATGGTCAATCACTTTATCTTGACTTAGGTGAAGAAGCAAATCAAGTTATTTATAAAGTATCTAATTTAACGTTACCAAATCCATCTATTATTCGTCTTTTAAATAATGGTACATCGAGTACTATGAATATTCATCCAATAAATAATAATATATTTTTATTTACTCTTGAAAGTTTTTTACAACCGGCTAATATTTATTTATATTCATCATTAACATTAATTCGATCGATAACAAATCATAATAAAAATTTATTATCTAAAGTTCGAATGAGCTCTTCATTTGAAAAATTTTCATTTATTGGTGCAAATAATGAAACAGTATGGGGATGGCATATTCCACCTATAAATGGAACAAATCAAAAAGTTCCACTTGCTTTTCTTATTCATGGTGGTCCACAAAATAGTTGGTATAATTCATGGAGTTATCGATGGAATTTTCAGGTATTTTCATCACAAGGTTATGCTGTTATTGGAATTAATTTTCATGGATCTGATTCATATGGACAAAATTTTACTAATAGTATTAAACAACAATATGGAACATTACCTTATCAAGATTTACAATTAGGATTAAATTCTGCTTTAAATCAATATAATTATATTGATGGAAATCGAGCTATTGCATTAGGCGCTAGTTATGGAGGTTATATGATTAATTGGATAGCTGGACATACACAAATGAATCAACGTTTTAAAGCATTTGTTAATCATCATGGAATATTTGATATGAGAGAAATGGCTTATTCAACAGATGAATTATGGTTTATGGAATATGATGCTGGGGGATTTATTCAATATAAAAATCCTCAAGCATTTGAAATATTTAATCCAGTTAATTATATTGCTAATTGGACTCAACCAATGTTAGTTATTCATGGAGGTTATGATTATCGTGTACCAAATACTCAAGGTATTAGCACATTTACAGCATTACAACGACGTGGTATTCCAAGTAGATTACTTCTTTTTCCAACTGAAAATCATTGGGTACTCAATCCATTCAATTCAATAATTTGGTATCAAGAAGTTCTTGACTGGATGAATCAATGGACAAAATAAAATAAAAAAAAACTCTTTGATTTTTTTGTATCAATTAAAATACTTTTCTGTCATTATTAATATATTTTTGATACAAACATAATGAGATAATGAATGTTTGATACATGTGCGATATAACAATAGAAAAAAATACGTGATACAATGAACATTAATATAAAATGAATTGTCTATTTATTTAGTTTGCTTTAGAGGATATATATATATATAGTTTTGTCTAGTTTCAGAAATATTTAATTAATTTTT